CCGCAAAACCAAAAGCTAACATTTTTCTCATTAGCTATAGCCTGCCTAACTAATATAAAAGAATTCAAAGCTGGATTTACTGTTTACATTTTCAAAACCCAAAATAGAGTTTTCTGTTCACTGCACGATAATGATATACATAGACGATTCCTAGCCAAAGCAACCAACGGCGTAGAACTAGTAAAGTGTAGCATCGAAATAATTGCATTAAACAATAAACATGACCAAACTAAAAAAAGCATATACTGAATAATTAGAAGGAACCAATTATTGTTGGGAGGAGAGAAGCAAAACAATTATCATCCTCCTCTTCTATGTCCGCCTCTCCTTTCAGGTTGTAGAGGCAGACGCGTCAGACAACATCTTCAACATTCCCGATCCTGTGCCAGAGTCTGAGCTACGGCAGAAGACAAATGAAATTTGGAACAGACTCCTTCCATGTGCTTGCGCCAGGTTAATCTTGGTCGCCCCGTGGGCCTTCTGCCGGTCGGATTTTCAAGAAACAGTTGTTTAGCCTTTCTTTCTGAAGGCATTCGCAACACATGGCCAAACCGTCGCAGCTATTACCTCTCAGTCTGGAAAAGCAGAGACTGTACACCGTGGCTTTCCCGGATGTCAGTATTCCGGGCCATGTCGAGACGCGTAAAGCCCATTTCAGCAGCTTGTAACCGGGTTCGAACTTTCTCAGTGATGGTTCACGACCGTAGGTAAGCATGGGGGATAAAGATCGAGTTGAACACTGAGAGCTTAGTTTTCAGACTGAGCTCTGCTTTAGTCACAATGGATAGGGCTGATTCATGCAGAACGCTACTGGCGACTCTAATTCACTGGTCGATCTCTTCTTCAAATTTTAAGCAAAACAAAATAGGAGTTAAACAATGGATATTCAAATGCTGAAGATAAAATTCCCAATATTCGAAAGATCTTTGAAACCTCATTGACGTAGGGTGCACCTAAAGCGTTCTAATGGTAACAGATTTCCTTTCATTATTCCGGCAGTGGTGAAGTCATTTTTCAGATTTTCATTTTCTTGATGCTAATTCTGCGTAGTTATAAACTGCGGTGCAGCCTTCCTATGTACGAAAGTCGAGTAAGTTTCTCCAGACGATTCTTAGTGTGTTTTTCGCTAGTCCGTCAGCTGATCTTCGGTAAAAAATGAATCCGTGCAGCGTCATTTGCTTAGTTGGAATCTCTGCTTCCACAATAACTATCCTTTATCCTTCGGCTTAGAATTTATGATCTTTCGGTTCCTCTCCTTTGCTCAGTTTTATTCCTTTTCGTCTTTCCAAATCCGGAGATTTTTTGACCTTCGAATTTCTTTTGCTTCAGCGTATTATTTCTCTATAACTATTTACTTTAAAGGATGCGATGTTCCTTTCAAACATTATTATTGTGCTCTGTCAAGACGAACACTGTCTCAGGGTGGAATGTTCCGCCACCGTAAAGAAGATGAATTCAGTCATTAAACCGTTTATATATTGATATAACAGAGAGAGATATTTTTTATATATTTAAACGCTTACGAACAGACGAGCACATGACCGCTGTCCAATTTAGAGCAAGAATGGAAATAATTTGGCATCTCAGAGTGTAGACTATCTGTTTAATGGGCCTCACGCAGTGCAATCCCTCCTCAAAATCATTTCAAATAGAAAGTATTATGGGAGCGTATTGTAACTCGGTTGATGACGAAATAAAAGGCACGAAAAGGAAAGGTTTCATTTCAAAAAGAGTCAAGGAATTTTTAGAATCTTTACGGGGTGTCATAGAGCAATGATAGCAAGCGTTGATTGTTTGCCAGATTTCCTTCTCACTATTCCTATTACGATTGTTGCTGCAAGAATTTTCGTTTTCTTCCAGCTAGTTCCATTTGATGGTGAGGTTCTTTGCGATGCTACTTTCCGTTCAGTCTACACAACTTAGTTCTTGCTGCAAATCTTGGTTTGGAAGTAAACTCAATTTTCATCGTTAACCGTTCTCTCATAAGGTTCAAGGCTGATTGCTATCTGAAGATTAGCAAAGTCCCTGTAGTCTCTCCCTGGAGTAGACCAGA